CTGGCAGTTCTGTTGCTTAGCCTACCGAACTGTTGCGAGTAACACACATGTGAAAATTATCTTCCAACAATGCCGAAAGACATCTCCGCCTGATTAAATCTGTGACACTATTCAACAAAAGTAATAGCCTATGTCAAAAAAGCAGAACTACGTCAAACATTTCTCCCAGTAGCTATGCAGTCAAAAGACTTCTCACGTACAAAAGACGTCCTGTACAACAAAATTAACTGTACAGTCACAATTGCAAGTTATATGAAAGTCAGTGAGAATATTCACAGAAAGATGAGGCTAAATGTCGACAAAAACGATTATTAGAGATAAAATTTTACAACCAGTCACGACGAATAAGGCTATCAAGAGATACAATCACAATATCATTCGTGGAGAATTCAAAAAAGTTCATTTCATATTGAACATTGTCGTAAGCAGTTTTATGTTGAAGGAGAACGGACAATTACATGCATCGAAAATTCGCGATGTATAACGACACCACCAGCCAATGCAATCTGTGAGCATCTATCCCCACATCTAGCTTGGTGAACCACATTAGACATGACTCCCACTAGAAATCTAGTCAACGCCATTCCGGAGTTAGTCAGTCACTAGCGTCAACGGTAGATTAATAGTTTCCTAAATTTACAAAATTGTATCAAGTTCGTCCACAGATTGACACCAGTTAGAGAAACACTGAAAATTGGCTGGGATTGCTGAACAGCTGGTTGTTTCACTGTAGTATGGTTAAAAGTCAAGCTCGTAGACTAATACGCCCCATGAATTCTGACATCCAATACTTCAGGATGTTTTGTGCTATCTCGAATTGAAGTAAATCGAATGGCCAATTCTTGAAACTCATTCAGTTGCTTGGTGGTGACTGGCTGGAATTCTGATGAGAAGTTATGATCAATGAGGTGCACTCGGTTGAAAGTGAGAAGAGATACTCACCGATGAGATTGGCTGATTGTTAGAATTCACAGACTGAACATAAAGTTCAATCAGCTCTCCTTGTTTACCCAGGGGTCGAGGGTTTGAACCACAGTGGTTTGTGTACTGACGATGATTTAAAAATCAGGACAAAACAGCTAGCTGTCCAGTACTCTCTCACCTGTTTTCCAGTGGTTCTGTAACTGATATCGATCCGTAGTGAAACTTGAAAAACAAGTTGAATGCGTGCATATTGACTCTTGTAAATTGTGTCAATCCACAACTATATGTATAAATATCACTCCATCTTATTTTTCACAGGTAGGAAAGATAAATGAAACACAGTGAACATGGACTGTTCATAAACTGATAAATTTTTATTCTGTGATGGTGGTGGTGGTGGTGGTATATCACTTATTCATATTAATAAACATTTTCTCTTTTTCAAAATCAGTTCTGCTTACAAATAGTCAATGTATCTTTCATATAATCTACTTCCATGATTCATCCATGATTTATCATTTGGATACACACAAACACACGTTGTATCGATTGGAACTGACATGTTATTGTCTAAACTCAGGAGATCGATTTTCGCGTTCCACTGTATTATTATTATTGTATCCTTTAATTCCTACAGGAACATAGGGCTTCAGCCGTGCATCTCCATTGCGGTTGGGATTTATATTCTAACTGATTACAGTCACGTTTTGACCGAGGGTATTTTGTCATTCACTGTCATCCACTGCCTATTAAGGATCATCTCCCATGAAATGAAGTGAACGTGCAGTGAGAGTGTCTGGTTTGTTCCTTGCAGCTGACAATTTTCCACGCACATTTAGATATCTGAGATACCTCCTATTCGATGGGATGAAGATTCCAGATATTCCTGTAACATTCACTACTGATGACTCCGTTGTTCAACTTCCGAGTGAGTTTCGGAGTCTTTACATGACAATTAGCTTCACATTTCACTACCATGCTGAAACTTGAAATTTAAACTCTCTCTCCTAATAGACCCTCGAATAACATTTCCTCTTATAAATTCTCCAAGTGACAACTTCATTTGATATATTCAGCATAAAATGATGATGGTACAGTTGCATGCATGTGAACGTCGCCTCCCTTGCATCAATTGATTTAGCCATTCGCTCACGCAATCACGTTCAGAATTCGACGGCTCGTTATTTGAATGAAAGGACGAATATATATTATGAATTGTGCTACACTAGTGGGTCTTAGACAAACAGATGTTTTACACTTCAACTATTTACTTATCTTTTTGCATTGGTAAACAGAACGAACAGCAAATATCGCTGACTTGAATACAGAACACCACATTGATAACTTTCATGTTCCATGTGACATGCACTGTGAAATGGTCTGAGTTCTAGTATGCTTTCACCTCTTGCTATTCTACCCAATGTGATTGATTCCCAATCAAACATGTGGGAAAAGGTGATGAAGTAATTCAATTTGGAAGGCAATAATACCACAAATATATTTGAGAAAAAGAGAAAAAGAAGATTTTTAATTTATGGATGAAAAAATATTTCATTATTATATTTCACTAATACTAATCTACAAAAGCCTGTAAGAGGCAAAATTCATTACTGTAATTAAGTGTTGGAAATAGTTCAGAAATTTCAGAGACGGTAATGCATCACTGTTGTTGTATCATGGGATACTGTAATCTATTGTTTTCTACTTCTACCTTCTACACAGAAAAGAAAAAGTACGCATGATTAATAAGAATGCAAACAAAGTGGAGAGAGCTAGTTGGTGCTTCTTGAATTTCGATGATTATCCCAACGCCTCTACTGCCTTCCTACTGAGATTCATCAGCGCGCACACACACACACACAAAATACACGACACCTCACTCTATCACATTCATCAAGTCTATATCCAGCCTCTACCTGCAGAGTGATTCACGATATCAAGACGATAATTCCTGTGTGTTGACTTCAAGTTGACTGACTCAAAGCGAAGACTGACAATGTCAACCACTCCCGACTATTTGATTACATTCATTAGTATCACAGTGAGTTAGTTTATCATTGAGATTTAAGATGGATACGTGGTAAGTTAGTCAGATTGTTAAAGACGCTTTCAGTATTCTTCCGTGAGACACGTGTATTGCAAGCAGTGTGCAAGTGATCGATAACAGGCATCCAAATGAAGCTGTTCATCGTCATCATGTCCGTTGCGGCGATCAAGTCAAACTGTCAAAAATGATTGTCGGCCATCTCCCTAGAACATCGCATCATCAGCATGGAGAAATCGACTAATGAGTAGTTGGCACTGCTAAGCTGAGATCTGACGACACAGATCATTGGGACTGTCTATCTGGACACACAAAAGAGACAGGTTTTCTACAGTCAGCACACTTTTCTTTCCAGCGAATAGTTTGTGATCAGTCATTAACAGGCTTTCAACACAATTTCAGTTAAAAACTTCAGCTCACACTTATCGCATCAGCCATTTCGCGAAAGACGCCACTGAGGACTAAAATTAAAATAAAAATGAAAAAAATTTGATTAATTTCTGTGATATACTCTCTATATATTCATGTTGCGTTCGTTGCACAGTCAATACTATGACGAGTGTGGTGTGGTGTGGTGAAATGTGTCTATCAATTTACAACATCAATACTATAAAGATACATGTATGTTTTACGGGTGTGTGTGTGTGGGTGTGTGTGAAAGTCAAGTTCATAGTGAAATGAAATTACTTTTATCATGAGTCAATGCAGCCATGGACTTCCTTCCATCACTGATAAATAATGTTCGTTCTCACGGGTGGAATCCAAAGCCATTGTAACAGAAATGCATAGAGCTACAGGCTTTCCAATATGGTCTAGTGACACGAATCGACATGTTCAGTAGCAGGCAGCACGCGACGTGTGAAATGTGTGTACAGTAGGATTTTAATGAAACTGCTTCAACATGAAAGTGGCTGTTACACGAAGCAGGGGGGTGGGGGAGTAAAATTAACACTGTAAAGCCTAGACAAACGGGGAGAATTGTCATATGCGCTTACGAGAGAATTGGAAATATCTTGATCGCCATACGGATACATTTGAAATCAAACGTCTCAATTTTCTAAAACCTATCAAATATCGAATGGGAAATATCGAATGTCACAATACAGGGTTTGAATGAATGAATTGTATCACTTCACATGAGATAAAAATCAAAATTGACAGACCTGATTTATTTTAATTTGACAGTGATGTGTTTTCGCACACTCAGGACAGCTGGCTCAGATGTGAGAAATTTCTGAGAGAAATTCGATTTCCACTCTAACAGTTTTATTCAGTCTGTAAACAGCTTATATTTCTACCGCTCCTGTGTATTTAGTTGTGTATATATTCAAGGATTCAAGTGCTTCGATAATCCGCTAACCAGATAATGCGGAATAAAATACAGATAGAGATACAAATGCATCAAGTCAGTCAATGACACCTGATATACAGTACAGTACTCACAATCATCCAGTACTCGTGGTTTTCATGTGATGGCAGGAGAAAATACTCAAAAATGGCATGAGGGATGGATGGATGAACTCAGGAAAATTAATAGACGCATGTGACAGATCGATCACCAACTTCATCCATAGACAAATGTAAATTCGATATGAACCATTAAAAACTGATGTTGACACATGTTTTATGATCGTCCACACTGTTGGTTAAGGGAGCTCCTCATATAAAAATATGCTGAGGCAATATCTATTCTCAAACTTTATCTTCTCGTCACCAGTGTGTTCGAGGACCATCTGCTCCTTACTAACTCCTAACCAACCTTGGTAATCCTCATTTCATTGGACAACCAAATGAAGTGTTAATTAATCTTATTATTCTTAAATGCTTTTCGTCCCATTATGTACTTTAATTTCCCTGTATTTTTTTCATATTAATTAGCTTGACAAGTAAATATGTGAGCCATTAGATTGTTCAGAACGTATTCAACAAACACATCACATTCTTCAGATAATCTCCATCTTCTCCTAAAATCTCTATCGATATTTATAAAAGGGACTAAGTAAATTGAGGAAACAAAAAAGTTTCGAAATACCTTTTTGCAATCGTGTTGGTTCTATGCATGGTGAATGTGTCAAATAATCCTGCTCAACTGTAAGACAGAGGGGAGAAGCATAACAATGATACAATGATAAGTACTGAGAAGTTCTATTAGCAAAACGACGATTCTGTGAGTTTTGCAGGCATCATAAAGTATTTCATTGGCCTTGAATTATTAGTGCATTGCTGTGTGATATTTATAGTAAGCTTATCTAATATGGAATCACATTATATCACAGTGCCCAGGCTCTACACTTTAATATTAAGAAATCAGTGTCACTAAAATGAAAGTAGAACACCACTGGTGGTTAAATATCCGACTGATAAATTAAACAGCTCTGTTTTCATCCTTCACACAACAAACAAGAACATTAAGTATTACACCCATATGATGGGAGAATAAGGAAAGCGGGACAGGTATTTCGACACATGAATTCTCCATTTAATGCAATCACAACTACCCATGCGCTTTCAACTCCTTCTCACTCACATGACCTCCTCCCTTATTACTTTCATTTTGGATTATAGCTTGATTCCACAGCGTATTTTTTGGTACAGGTATGGAATTTTCAGCATGTGATATCGGTAGCCCGAATTTTGCATGCCAACCATAGATATCGTGTGTGCGTCGGCAGGGGGGCGAACCCCGGACCATGTGCAAGTTCGGCGAGAGTCCTAACCACTGTGTCACCATCACACTTATGTTCATCTTGTCGTTCTCGATTCAAGTCCACTCGAGCGATGACCTGGCATGCAACGGTCCCACGAAAATAATTCTCATCCATCTCCATCTTCATCCACATAGTTGTTGGGCAATAATGTCTCGATTGGTTCGTTCCACAGCTGAGTTGCTTGTTTCTGGTGCCTTCTGGCAAGCCAAGCATATGACTCGCGGTATGGAGCCATTTAAGTCAGTCCTCAATGAAGCTTCGCGACAGGGCTGTTGGAAATGCTCTTCGCCGTGTGCTAGTCACGTCTCTCAAACACCAAGAAGAATTGACTTACTAACATTGCTGTGAAAATCCGAATTAATTTATATATGCTGAGGCGCAGTGCAGTAGATTTTCAAACTGATTTCAGAGTGTTGAACGTCTGTCTTCTCTTTCCAATTCTAGGTGGTCGCTACACTCTCATGTGTCCCGAATGCCTGAGGTTGAAACGACGACGCCCAGTCAGATAGGTAGTTGAAAGTTGTGGTTTCCTTCAAATTCCCCTTCCCCTCATTCTTGCTTGATATGAATGTTAGCTGGTTATCCGCATCCCACTGTCTTCTCGATTTCCACTAGAATCACTGTCTATGTTGTCTGCCTCCTCTTACAGCTTGGTGGTTTTCAGGGCCTGTAAGTCTTCGACTTTGCCTGACACTAGACCCAAATCGGCTAGAAAGTTCAGATATTCTAGTGTCTTCTTATCAGTTCCTATTTACTCGTTCCTCACGCACAGTCTTTCACAAAATCCAGCAGACCACCACCAGCAGGAATGTCATCGTTGTTGATATTTACACAAGTGATTCAATTGAGAAATCACAATGAATAGCATTCATTCATTCGAGTCCATTCGAGTCAGCATTTAATCTTAACTAAAAGCTCAATTTTAACATTGAATAAAGTTCAACCCTAGCACAAAATGAGTTGATCACTTCCACTAACAAATCTTACACAACACAAACATTCATTCCGGTCAGTTGACTATTATAAGAAATGTGGATGGAGTCAAGGCGTTATGCACAAATATTCATTGCAATAATTATTCCTCACCTCTCAGTTTAGCAATCTCCATTCTCACAAACCTAATATGCGGCTTCATTACTTTTATAAAATTACCTGAATGATATATAGAAAAGTGAACATTTACACCAAGTGTGAATTAACAATTACTTATAAGTAGGCAGCATGTCTAAAATGTGGACATTTTCAGTAGCACATTTAAGAAAATGAATGTTGAGAAAGAGGTTTCCAATGATCAATGAAATATTCATCACCCATTCATCCACTCACCTTTCCACACAAACAAACTCACACGTACAACAAGATGTAATGAGCATTTAGGAGGATATTAGAGAAAATGCTTGTAAAACTAATGAATACCTACCAAATTGTTTATCTAGATTAAGGAACTTCGGCAGGACTTCTGAAATTTGTTGGGAAGAACACGTCTTATATATAAACAAACTCTTTGAACACGGAATAATAAGATATACTGAAATAGTTTAGTGAAGTGTAACATTCTGTGGAATAAAGCAGTGAGATGAAGAATATTTGATGACAAAGTGGTCGGCCCTTCAGTTAAACTTCGTTTTCTCTCTTTCCAACTTAGGTGCTATGAGCACTATTCATCCTAGAAAAGGTTAAGAGCAGTTTGTGTTCATTTAATAAATTTCGATATACTTATTGGAGATAACGAAGCTGTCCTGGAAGAATTTGATGTGTATTTTTTATCCACACTGTGTCCATACACACACACACACACACACACACACACGGGCAAACACTTGCAATTTCAGTTTGAATGAAAATTGAGTCGGTTTATGGTCTGACGAAGTAATCAGGGATTTAAGCATGTTAGGGAGGATGACAACTGACACCACACTCCTGATAATCAGACAAGGATAATCGAAGCACGTTAATAGCAACCACAAATGATTTTCGTTCAAACATGTTGTGCTTAATTACACCCATGGCAATCACCTCAAATTACTTCAGTAAGCAGCGGGTCATATGCAAATAACCTTAAAACCTCTTTTAATATTATTCTTATAACTAACGATGTACAGTGAATGAGTTTAGTTTCTTCAAGCGGTTTGGATTCGCATACAGCTAACTCTTACGTCTCACATTCATCACTGATCATATCAGTCAGATACACTCGTAAATGCTTTCATCCCGAGAAAGAATTATTCACTGGTGAAAGTGTCAAGAGGTTTCTTATATCAAATTAATCATGCAATAAGAAACAAAAGATGTTGTTGTTGTTGTTTGACCGCGGATTGATATAACTTGGCGAAGGATTGGAAAGTAGCATGGTGAAGTGGACGGACAGCTGTTTCGCGCTACATTCGGGCTCACCAGTAGTACACCGGTACCGACACTTTCGAGGTCAGGATCATGCAGTCACAAATCAAGCTCACAGACCATTCAGCCACTGTGATCCAACTCCTCAATGGTCAGCGCATGAATCGGAGCCTCTACAAATTCTTGATTTTCAGCCTGACTGCTCTCAGTCAGTGTTATCAGTGGGTGTTTATCCTCAAACAGGATCAGATATAGCCCACTGGTCACAAATACCTATCAGATGTCCACAGGTCTTCACTCCGTTCTCCAGGCAGTCAGTAAGTAGCTAGGGAGTATCTGATTAATTATCAAGAGTTGGTTAAAAACAAATGGTTAAAAAACAATCTACAAACCTGCGTACAATCTCAGTCGATATAATATCTCGGAGTTTTGAGTTGAACATTCTACAACTGGAAATTATTTTTTAAATATTTTTTAGTTACACATTCAACTTACACTTATCCAGCAGTGTTCTCCGTTTGAGTTTCCCCAACAAATAATCTAAATTCGGGGCGGGGGAGGAATAAGGTGAATAAATAGAAACATGTCATAAAACGTTCTCCACTATCAACAAACAAAGAGAAGTCATTCAGTTGATGGGGTGTGAAATTTATTTAAGTAAAGCTGTAATAACCTCTAGAGAAATGCAAGAGAGTCTTCTTGTACACCGAACTGTCACCATCACACATTCTCAAGTTGACTTATTTCACGCTGACTACATAAATGAATTTCCCATAGGACTTCTCTCCTTGATGATGATTGATGATGAATTTGCTACTGATGTTTTTGTCCTTGGTGATGATGGTGGTGACGATGACAGTGGTGGTGGTGGTTGTTGGGCGTCTTTATCATCTCTGTCTTTTGTGCGATCACCTTGAATCTGATAATATGTGGACAAGTCATCGAAACATTCTCAAGATGACTGACTAATCTCATTCATCAGTAGAGAAGAGATGAAAGATTCCCACAGACAAGAAAGAAGTGAGTAGTTTTGTTGTTTTACACATATTCATCATAACTCCTCAACATTTAACAACAAGCATGTTTTGGTTCAAATGATATAGAGATTTGTTTTGCAGGGTGTCTGTCAGTAATTCTCTTGAATCATCAATTCCAGGAGATAAACAGTATACTGGCGGAGATATTTGCATCAACCTACTGATGTCTATCACACGACATATTGCGTTGATGTGGAGACTACACATTATCAAAACACATCGACCTACTTTATCGTGCTCATTGTGGTAGGAAGTCATGTATTATTGTGAAGCATAAGTGAATTTTCCATCAGAATAAAATGCAAAGATAAGTGAAATAGTGATGCGTACTTTTTGTCTCATTCATTTGCGATTCTGCAAACTTCCAATCGATTTCACTGCGATTCGCCATCCCTGTAAGGAAGTAGAATGTTTACTCACATGAAGGGAGAAAGGAAGAGTCAGTCATTCAGACTACACAATAAATATCGAAAATATTTTATCTCACTGATGTCAAAATGCTTGCAGAAGACATTAGGAGAACAAACAAACACTCCTTCTCACATGATGTTTAATAGAAAAACTCATATATGTGAAGGAAGATATTACCAATTTGAAATCCAAAATAATAATACGAGATGCATGTTGATTTATGTGTAAGTAAATATCACACATGAGCATGTGTGATGAACATGTTCCAAAACAATGGTAAAAATGCATATAATTTCTTCAAATGGTGAAAAAAATACTAAAGATTACTAAGGTCATCTCACCATCAAACGATTCCGAAAAATGTAGAAGCGTCTCATAATCTTCATTCCATCCCCAAAATTCGCCTAAAAGAAAAATGCAGAATAAATCCGGTACGCTCAAATACCATCTCATGAGTATTATATGAGTGAATTCTTAGGAAACCCTGTGCTTAAACGTCATCACTTCATTCATCTTTTTATACAGATTAACAGCAGCAAAAGACCTGTGCATTCTCCCTCCATCTGAAACTGACTTAATTATCAACATGTATTACTCTGCAGGAAAGTGCATCAGTTCAAGTTTCCAGAATTCATTATTTTACACACACACACAGGGGTACAGACCAATAATGCTATCCAACCTCATTGATCGGAAATGCATAAGTAAAAGCATAACTACATGAAGAATGGTGAGTATATGTATGTATATTGGATGTGAATTTGGAACATTAGAAGCAGTGAATACACATGCGCTCACTTTTCATACCGATTTTCAGCCTTATCACACCAACAACACTCTCCTGCCTCGAATAGATTCATATTGACCATACTGTGTGAACTGTGGGGTGTCGCTCTGATAAGAAGTGTGAATAACACACTGTGTTGGATAAAAATCGACTATAACAGCTGATCGAACTGACAACATTCACTAAACCTGTGAAGTTTAAGAAAGCACTGGCACTAAACACAGTCTTCAATATGTCCACTCCCCTCCTTGTTATTACAGCTGTGTGTCAATGTGTGAGTGTGGATCTCCACGCCGACTGCAGAAATGAATTTCACGCAGGACGTCTCTCCTTGACACACACTGACTGGTAAATGTTGCTGCTGACATTGTTACTGGCGATGGTGATGGTGATGGAGGTGGTCAGCCATCTATCTTCCATGTGCTCACATAGACTAGGCGAGCGAATATGTGAACCAGTCGTCAACCGTCAAGCCGTTTTCTCTCACATTCTCAAGCTAACTGACTAACCTCACGTGGCAATGGAGAAGAGATGAATGATTCCAACAGACAGACATGAGGTCGGTAGTATTATTGTTTCACACCATGAATGCACCACCACCTCCTAAAAATGAACAGCATGTCTTGGTTCAAATGATATAGATATTTGTTTCGAAGGGTGTCTGTAATTCTCTTGAATCATCAATTCCAGGAGATAAACAGTATACTGGCGGAGATGTTTGCATCATCATCCTACTGATGTCTATCACACGATATATTGCGTTGATGTGAAGACTACACATTATCAAAACACATCGACTTACTTTATCGTGCTCATTGTGGTAGGAAGTCATGTATTATTGTGAAACATAACTGAATTCCATCAGAATAAAATGCAAATATACGTTTGCAGGTGACTTACTTCGATTCATTTCTTCAAAATATCTTCCATTATCCTCATTGCTTTTGTCGCTCTTCACCAATACTTAAACAGAGTGTACATTGTATATATATGATCAATCTTGAATTTTACACACTGAACTATAATTATATATATAAATTATCTCTAATTTCAAAATATTCGCAAGCATTCAGAGTACAAAGAATCCTTCTCGTAGGATGTTTGATTGAAAAACCCATGGGTGAAGGATAAAAGTTGATTTTTGTGGAAATATCAGCACGCACACACACACACACACACACACATACAACCATACACTGCATTGCAGGCATTTGGCAAGGAAATCAAGTTCCAATTTGTCTGTCATACAGTGCAAATCAACCCTGCAAAACACGAACGAGTCAAACTGCATATACTTTATTATTATAGTTAGAATATTTATTATTATTATTTATTGTCCTCTTACTTTTGAAGGAATCGCTCCAAAGAATACCTGTTATGTTGATGTTTTCCCCCTTTAAAATTAGACCTGAGAGAAAAATACACGAATAAATCCTATACGCTCAAATAGACCATGAGTATTATTATGAATGAATTTCTCATACTTCAGCCTTCGTTCACAATGTATAGAAATTTATTAACAGGTGAATTTCAGACAAACAGCTGTACATATTTTAGACAATATAACACATTGTTAATAATAATAATAATATTAATAGCTTTATTGCAAACAGTGCTTTCAGTACAAATATGCGATTTCCAGCATGTTGTACAGTATTGCATGTAACCTTCTCATTACAGGAGTAATAGTTATTAAAAAGGAGGGTGACATTTAAATTGATGAAATTGTTCAATAAGAAAATGAATACAAAATTAAATTAGGTGAAAATATTACTAACAATGTGACAATGAACATAAAATGAGGCTTAAATATACCACCGAGTTGGCAGTTCAGCAGTAGAATGCTCGCCAAAGACGCCAAACACACTTGTTTCGGGCCTGTAACCGCCATCGCAGACTCACTCCTACACACGTCCAAGCCGATGCTCAGTCTCGTGAAAAGGGAAGTCTGAGTGTGGGGTGGGGCTAGTAGCCCCATGCTGTGAAATATAAAACCACTGCTACTGAAACTTCAGAGCGGAAATCAGAAGCACCTTGTTCAATCCGGAACAACGTAAAGGAGCAACATAAATACATAAGTAAAATATAGTCGTACTTACTCCTTCCCAAATTTGATTGTACAAGCAGTGGAGCGACGATAGTTATAAGGAAGACTGTGCACCGATTCATCATGTTTATATTTGATCATTCAATTCACGAGTATTTATACTAGTGCTGAAATTCAGTTGTCTGTGAGCACAGTATAATCCTGGATGGTGGTTGGCCGATTCAATCTGTCTTACTTTATTTCACGTCTTGATTGGATTCTGAATGGAGTGATACCCACGTTTGATCAAATAACAACTTGTGTGAGCCTATCATAGAAGAGAAAATCAGCAGAGAGAATGGAGGGTGACTTCAGTTTTGCAAATATTTTCAAGCACTTCATATGTCGTTATAATTCAATGTCGGAGACAAGTAAAAGAGTAGCTTAAAAGAAAGATATTCATTGCCGCTCACACATAAATCACCTTTGCAATGTTTCCACATTCAATTTGTGGCGCTGAATCGGCTTCTTCTCAAAGCAGAAAATTTACAGTAGACATTTTTGTGGAAATACATTGTCAGTGAAAACCAACAGTCCACCTGTTCGGTGTGACAAATCAAAGAGTTCTACTTCAAAATCTATACAGATTAATGCATAGAACTGAAGACGGTGTATTCATTACCACCACTCCACCCACAATCACTTGTTGACCAACACTGGGAAGACGAAGCAGACAAGAAATCATTCAGTACAAATTGTCAAATTCTGAATGCTGTAGAAAGTTACACAGTGTCTTAAGGCCAGTGATGATTTTGGCACACAAACAGAATGTGGCGCCTATTGGAATACTGACAAATAACATCCTTAGCTGAGTCCAACCTTATTATTATTTCCAAGGCGATCACATCGTCGCTTAATGAAAACAATATGTGGAAACAGAGGCATACTACAATCCTTTGCACACAAATCATACTCATTTTGATTGGACACTAGTAACTAGTGAGACGTTTCTAGATTTTTCTTTGGTGCAGACTGAATTCTATCAGTTAGGTTTGCAACGTGGCCACCGTGGCACCGTGGTGGTGAGCTACCTAGAATGGCGGCCACAAGACACGTCGCACTAGTTACTAGTGTCCAATCAAAATACATACCACAGTCCTACAGGAGGTCAATCACGAGCCCGAATAGCTCAGTGGTAACGCCTGTGACTGCAGCACTGGGTGACGCAAGTTTAAATCTCAGAACAGACGTGAGTTCCTTCAAGGTTGTAGGTACGCCTTGCTGACGAGCGTTAACTAGCACAAAACCTGTCGACTGTCTCCAAATATCCAGTCTTTCTCATTGTTTATCAGACTCATGTGATCTGTGAGAAAATACATATCTCCATCGTGAAGATAATACTGCCTGGCGTGAGTAGTGTGCAAAGTAGCTGTCCAACCGATTACACTAGGCATCCATTTTACTTCCAAAACAAGGAAGTGAGAGGATGATAACAGCACTTGTATTAGCATAAGTTTGATTGTAATAACTGGTCGTTATATAATTTGTCAACACAGTCTCCCTTCTCATTCCTACTTGATGAGATGTCAGATGGAATCTCGTTTTGGTCATATCGCAAGGGTGGCGATGGTGAGCTTATATATTTTAGTGGAAGTGTGGGAGTAGCCTGTTTGTATCTGACGATAAACAATTTGTTATATAGTGGAAAGAGCAGGATGTTTGTGAAAGACCTATGAATTCAATGGACAGCCGGAAAAGTCACAATTTCACCTCACAGATATCACATTAATATCACTCACATTTTTGTTAAGCATTTCCTGCATGCTGATGATGTGAACCAACTAGAATGTTGGAGAGAATTTATTTCGTAATCAATAAATTCATTATATTGCTATATTCAGTTTGACATTTGATGATAGAAAGTATACCGACGTGAATCAATCGTTGCATGTGGAATCTCTTATTTCTGCTTAAATTTCTCATAGTCTGTTAAGGTTCTTTCAAATAACTTCAAGTATAGCTTCGGTAGTATCACCTTTATATTTTTCTTTCTTGAAATCTAACTCTGCAGATGCGAAATCACAAGTCGAAATCGTTAACTTCCAGTGCGCAGTCCTGTTGGTAATTTTCTGTTATGATGTAAAGTATGACGGACGGACTCCCATCCCACAAGTCAGCAGACAGATATGTCCCTTTAGTAGCTCCTCTTCAAAGCTGTTCAACTATGCGTTTGGGTGCTTATCCATACAGTTTGGGGTTGACATCAAGCGTGAAAAGTTACTGTCAGTAGCAAAGGAACTGAGTGAATCAAAGGGTATGAGTAACAACTACGATTGTGAAAGTGAGAATAATCCTACGCATTCGAGAGGGCTGACAGCTCATCAGCAAAGTGAGGAATAACGGTTTGGAAATGGTTGATATGAAAAACAAGATGAGGAGGGATTGGAAATGAGTTGCAAAAACATAAAACTGACCACTTAGAGCTTTTTATACACTTACTCAGCGAATCGAAGAATGAAGAAGACAAAAATTGTGCACTAAGAGTATTTCAATAAAGGAGGCTTGATAAAACGTTAGCGAACACAAATTACAGGTTCCCTCTAAGCATAGCTAAGAATTCGGCTGCATGAAGAGGATGTAGGTGAAAGTACCTAGGACTATTTAGTCGTACTCAATTTATGAATGCGAAAGTAATCTTCACGATACTACCTGCCAAGAAGTAATGATATGTTCCAATTACGACTGTTGACAGGCCAATTTCTTACTTTTTGACAAACACGCTCTAAAATGTTCATAAGTGCCTCTCGGAAGGGTGCCGTGTCTTCAGGTTATGCTCTAAGCTCTACAAAAACAAGTGAACCAGGTAACAAACACACAGAAATAAACAAAGTGCAAGTAAATTTCGAAGATTCCCGTCCCCCACGCTTTCCAAGCATTTGATTGATATGCATACATCAGAATGGTTGAGGAGAATCTCACTTTCCAGGTGTTCATAAATCAGTCAGCAGATTTGAGATGATCTACCACAAATCAATAATTCATTCATATCAAATCGTCGTCAGATTATCTACATTCACATTCATGCATTTTCTCATCCATCCATCCATCCACCTATCCAGTCATTCATGATTCCCATCACAGTTTTGGCAATGTATAAAAGACGAGAGAGAGAAAGGTTTTTGAGGGTAGACGTTGTGAGGGTTGTGAAACAGAGGCACGGAAGTTAATTTCCAAAATAGACATGCACTAATCAGACAAACAAACAAACCACTGAACCGACAAGCAAACAGAGAAACGTACAGGCAACAGTGGAATCTTCGTGTAAATACAGAAAATGAGAGACGGAATGCGTAAGACGCTGTGTAGGGGAATTCAAGTGAAATTCGAAGAAAAAGATTGTCAGTGTGAGTGTGAAAATCTGAATGTGAAATAAATATATATAAGAATGTATCCATTGAAAGCAAAACAGACAATCTTGCCTACGCATATAATACTAAACCACAGAAACCATAATATCTCGCTTCTGTTCATTCAGCGCTAGTAATAAGCTCGTTTTTGGATTTATCAGCGTGACAGTAGTATTTCTAATTAACCGACATTCCTTCGATGACCTGAATCTTCCGATAACACAAAAGATTGACTGATAATTTCTGAAGAAATCCGCCCTTGTAATTATTGTATGAATATACATATATAATAATTCAGAATAATAGTGATAATGATAATATTACTGTTAATGTTATCATTATTATTATTATTATTATTCATATTACAGAGTGTAGAATATCTCATCTAATTATCAGGTATCTTAGTGAATAGTCTCACTGCTCATTACAGTTCACAGTGTCTCACTCACACACTCACACACACTTGGAGAGAGAAAG